AATAGTCTATATTGTCGTCGTAGGCGGCTTACGCACCCACCAGCAATACCGCTAGCAATAATAACCATGAGAAAATCAATTCTTGAGTTTCCTTTTTTTCCCTATGAGCATGGGCTCCACTTGGCGGCCCTTCCCGGCTGTGCCTGCGTGGCAGGCGTTCAAAAGAGAGGGAGAGGGGAAAACGAAAAGGACAAAGCGCGATCGCTTCCTTGTAATCACGCTTTGCGCTTCTCGTTTTCCCCTCTCTTTCCCCTTTGAACGCCTGCCCCGCACTCTACCTAAAGTATAAAATGGACAATCCGACAAAAATTGTTTCGCTCCAATTTTATTTAATAGCAAAATTTGTAAAATTATGAAAATTGTAACATCAGCCTAGAAAYCCATAACAACCGATGTTGCTTCCAGCGACGGTATCGGGTATCGAATTCGGCCGCAAGAACAAAACTACTGCACAAGCTAAGGGGTTGGTTGCTTCACAATTGCTCTTCCATTCTGGTTGTCAAAAAATTTACTGATAGGTACGTGTTACGTCGAAGGCTACTATGGGAGATCTATTGCAAAAAAGGAAATCCCCGACAAAAGTTATTTGCAAAATGTCATGGGGAATTTTCCGACCAAATTTCGTGGCAATCCGACAAATTGGCACACCCTATAAGAGACAATCGCAGAGATGATTTTCCATTTAATTTTTTATTGCAAGACAGTAAAAATGATTTTTTTTTTTTTTTCGTAAACCATATTTCGCGCAGCGCCCTAACTAACTGAGGAACAGACTACGCGTGTGTGTGTGTTTTAGGGCAAATATTTGAAGCAGAAGAAAACAGGATCAGAAACGGCTCGCTTACTTGATATTGGCAACAAAATTCGCTGGAGATTCAATCTCAATTGCCTAGATTGCACGCTTGAGGTGAAAACAAAATCCCTTGGAATTTTCTCCAGCGGTTCGTTGCAATGATTGCCTAAAAGATCTCACAAGCTTGAGATCCGAGTCCAACAAACCTGCGGTTGACCAATTTACGTTTTTCT